GTTTTATCTGATGCAAATAACATGATATGTTACGAAATTATCTTTTTACTATCTTTAATACAATTAAGTTTTGAGGTAATTTATGCTTAAATGTTGAGATTATTCTTACATATTTCAGCATGGAATTAAAATACATCTTTAAATGATTTCAACTATATCAATTATACAATCATTTAAGCAATGCAATAAAAGTTTATCTAAGATAAAGTGGTGAAAGTTTGTTATAGTCATGGATAAAAGTACTTGAGTTATTGCACAAAAGACTGTAATAAAATACGGAAAGGAACGCAAAGAAATTTTTATCAAATGGAGAAGTTTCAAAATTCTATTTGTATAAATAAAGAGCGAAGAAATGTCAAGAATCACAAAAATAAAATGATTAAATTATTCAATCAATACGAGATTGCATCGAATTTTAATTTAAACTTAAAGCAGAATTTAAAAATGTCTTAAAGTTGATACATTTAAGTAAATTTCAAATTAAAACTCAACTGTTAAAAGAAAAGTAACCCGATTTTGCTTTGATTTGCAAACTTTTATGCATGCAAATATGAACAGCTATTTTTAAAATGTATTAAAAAAAATTTCACACTTATTATTTCAACTCTCCTGGAAAACACTAGCTTTAAGCCAGATTGTCCAAGTAAAAAGCTGAAAGCATTAATTTTTTGAGCGCCTGCACTTTTTTAACCGTTTTAATTGGACACATAGAGAGAAAAAACTACTGACATAGTGAGAAAAAGGAATAAATACTTTATTAGAGTAAAATAAGCTTCTTTTTATCGATACCGTTGTCTTAAATTATAAATTAGTATGTTTTGGATAGATATTTTAGCATGTTTTGAATAAATACTTCAGCATGTTTTAAATAATTAATTTAAATACTTCGGCTTGTTTTGAATAACTACAAAGCTTTATATGAATTATTACTTTTTTTAATCTATGAATTTCCATAACATGTATTTATTAATATATTATAAAAAAATTAAAATATATCTTATTTTCACTACTTGTTATATTAGAATTTGTTAGTTAAAAACGTGACGCTTTACTTTTTAGCAGTAAAAGAAAACGCTTTCGAAAGCGATTTACGATTTTACAAAAACCGGCATTTGTAAAATCGTAATCTCAAACATTAACATTAGTACTCACATACAAAAATATTAGTCTTTATATGTATATATATATNTTTCTCTTACACGGCGACAAAAAAAGGCCTCATTACAACTCCCCGAATGGCAACGCTAGAAAATCGACCAATGATTGCCGCTAAAAATGTCGCATGCCGAATCCAGATGAGGTGGCTCAACGTATAGCGCTTTTAAAAACGGAAACTGAAATAACCTTAAGCTAGGCAGAAGTGAGTAGTCTTTGTCGATAGATCTCTATTTTAGTATTTTGATGAAAGCGCTTTTTTTCACGAATTTATATATTACGAATTTATTTGACGATTTTTGATTTATATCACGAATTTATTTGTTTTATTACGGTTATTAGTTATTCATTTAAAAATGAGTTTCAGTCGTGCTGTAACGCTTTAAAATCTTATACTATAGCACATTTCTAATAGGTTTAACGAATTACATGTCATTTATTTGAATTCAAATTTATTTTAATGACTTAGTATTTACTAAAAAGATGTAATTTTTTTTAAAAAAAAAGTTGTTATATGGATTTGAATGATTGTTTTGAATTCTTAGAATTTTGTGAATTTGCAATGTACCTAAGTTAGTAGCGAGCAAAGCGAGCTTGGTTTGCGAAGCAAACCATATAAGATTGCGTAGCAATTTTCGGGGGTTGGCGAGCGTTAGCGAGCAGGGGGCGCATTCCACTAGTAATTTCAAGTTGAAAAATAGCGTTTATAAGCACTTTTGACAATGAAAACAAAATATCGCAAACGAAAGCTAAAGATTTAAAAATCTAAAACGACTTTGAAAGTCAACGTTCGTAAAATTGTTTTCTCAGAAATATTTTGTAATAGTATAAATCTTTTTCTTTTTCCCATTTGAAATCATTAGTCTCTGCATATAATAAATTTAAATAAAAAAAGCTATATAAAACAATACAGAGTACTGGACACAAGATTGGAAAACTTATTTTAACTTAAAAACACATAAAATATTATTAAGTTAGAATTATCATACATTTTCATGTAACTAATTTTTATCACATTTAAAAACATTTATTAATAAACTAGCATAAATTTAAAATGTAAAGATTAATCAGCATTGATGTCGATCAATTGTTATTGAATCTATTTTTATTTTTCGTGATAAAACTAATTATTATGAAATAAAACTCAAAAATATAACTTTCTTACAAAAAAAGTTTTAAGAAAATAATGTTAAACTGTTAAAACTTGATTAAGTTATTTTCTATATAAATCAAAATAATTTAAGTACGCTGCATGCAATTTTTAATTTTTTAAGAAGTATCTAATTAATAATAAAAGGAATGACGAAGAAAGCTTAAACTTTTGAACTTTAGGAATATTTTGTTTTACTAAAGTTCAAAATTGATGAACTATAAATTATAAATTCAGGCACATTTAACTAGTGAATATTTTTCTGTGTAGGTTAAAATATATCATTTGCCAATATTCCATACTAATCAAACGTCTTAAAAAAATTTTTTTGGGTGTTAGTGAAAATGCATTAATATCTAATATTACTTTCTAATATTACTTAATAATAAAACGTCTTAATTTTTTTTAACGTGACTGAGCAGTAATTTACACACCTTTTACGCTATGCCATCTTACATAACTTAACACAAGTTAAAGAAAATACAAAAATCGTTACACGGTTAAAAAAAACCTAGACACAAAAGATGTTTACTAAGTTTAATGCAGAGAGAGTTTAATGCATGTAACGCAAATGTGGGTTAGTTCAGACAAAAAGTCCTCCACGAAGGCAAATTTCTCCCTATATTAGATCCAGAGGTTCCCTTGTCTTCTGAATTGGGTTCAAAATTACAAGGCTACGGAATTGAACATTAGTAGTAGTAAGCCCCAGCAGTTCAACAACGGTTATAATATTATATTATAAAAAGTTTAATGCAGGAACGTTGCTAAAAAAGTTAATACAATACAATCCCAGTTTCTAAAAAAATTTTCCAGTAATACTATACACATATATTACTGAAAAAACTTCAATTAATATTAAGCTATAAAATTTTGACTTTCGAGTAAGGTATTAAATGTTTTTGAAAACTATGGAAACTTTATTCTTTTCATATAATGAAACGTGTACAAAGTTGTCATAAAGTTTTTATAATTCTTTATTTATTTACTAGAAATAGAAACGGCCTATGTAAAATCCATTAACAATTTATTCAAACTACTTCTGCAACATATTAGTTATTGCATATATTTTTATTTTTCTTAAAAACATTTTTTTAACTGCTACCAACTTATCAAAATATTAAATTCATCAATAGCACTGGGGGACAAAGTTTTTGGTGCATTTATCAAATGCTTGATGTTGCCTAATTTTGATTTAGGGATTTCATAAGCTATAAATTTTTTAAAAATAATATTTTTAGTCCATTGTTTTGTCAAAATGTACAAGTTTAAAAAAGTTATATATAACAGGGAGCTGCGTCAATGTTACGACAAATGTTGCGTAAATGTTACATTTTGACAAAAAAAATTTTAATACAAATATCATTTAGAAAAACTGTAGCTTAAAGAGCTTAAAGATTTGAAATCAGCAATGCGAAAATATCCAATATTCCTTATAAAATCTCATGCAAACAGAAAAAAAATATTTCCGCAGTATAATTTATTCTAATTTTTTCTGATACGTTATAGTAAATGTACATTTTAGAATTTACATTTCTATTAATATTGGTATTTTTTTCACCATTAACAATTTTTTCAAAATTTTAAGCAGTTGTAGAATGTTTTCTATCAGGTTCAGTAGTTTTGGTAGTGTATTTCCAGTAATAATAGTTATTTAGTTTAGGATTTATGCAATGAAATATTTCCTCAATAAAAGTACCTGGAGATTTGCTCATGCTTAACCGTGAGTTAATTAATTAAAAATAACCTTTGCACTAAAATAAACATTTTATATTCGCGGAAGTATTTAAAAATATCACTAATGTAATTAAAAACCAACTAGAAATTTAAGTTAATTAGGATAAATAACGTCATTAAAGAAACATCACAAACTTTCCGCATCATGTTATATGAATATATGTAAAATTTCATAAGTGTTTCACTTTCATTTTGAGTAGGAATTTCATGTATACACTGTAAAAAATTCCGGATCAGATTACAATACTAATTACCGCACTTTGGGTCCTTCATCCGTAAAATTCATTTTACCGTAAAATCCTTTTCTTCCATAATTTTTACAGTAATATTTATTTAATTATAGTGATTAGATGATTTTATTGTATTTATAGCTTGAAAAATTACGGTATATTAGATTTTTTGTTCCGTAATATGTTCCGGATTTTTTTTTTTTTTTTTTTGTGAAATTTTATAAAATACCTTATAAAATTACAACAAAAAAATTTACGAATTGCAATAATTTTTTTAATCAAAAAAGAAACAAAATGTCTTATTTAATGTAATTTTACACGTAAATATACATGTAAATTAAGTTAAATTTTCTTGGATCTTCATTTTGTTATGAGTACACCATTATGGATTTAGCTATACTTCTATACAACATGAACATTATTTAAATTCATAATATACAAAAAAAAACCCTTAAAGTTTATGTTTTATGATATTTCCAGCATTACTACATTTTCTTCTTTTAGTTAAAAGGTATAAAATATTTTAAAACGACAATAGTAGAACTAAACTTTATAAGCCCCTTTTACTTAATTAATTTCAGTTTTAAATAATAAATATTTCAAATTAAAAGATGCATTTGAATGTGCGATCTTGAGATTTCTTACTGAAAACTTTCACTGCTATATATTTCACTTATATCATCATCATTTACGACAACATATAAAATGAACAAATATTAAATTCTACTTACAGCTTTACTGTCCAATGGCTTAAGTCATTAGGCACAACCACCAAGGACCGATTCGAACAATCCGCTTGGATGGCAAACTCAGGACCAAGACATTCACAAAGCACAGAACAAGGTGTTTCATCAGGTGCGGCAGACGATAAATCGCTCGCGCAAACTTTGATAAGCATCATAATGAAGCAAACGAAAATGTTTAAAACAAACAGACGATAACTTTGAGTTATGAAGGAGATGTAAGGATAGATTTTAGGTTTCCTCATTGCAAAAGAAACTCGGATCTCCTTATTTCTGTTCAGTTAAATATTGTATTCTTTTATGAATATTCTTTTAATAGAGAAACGCTTTTTTTCTTCATGTTGGCATCACATGGTTTTCTTTCAACATTTGTAATAAATGGCACTTGCAATGGAGTACATATCCATTAAGCCCAAATAAATGGAGCATTTATAAATTAATTAGTTTGTTGCATTATTTTGATAAAAATGATATCATGGTTTTGAGTAGCTTATTCCAAATGTCATGCCATAATTCCATGAACTCTTTTGAATTTCTAAACGATGTGTTTAAAAGTATGTATGATCAATTTTCTTCGGATAGTTTATTTTTTAGATTAAAAAGTTTGAATGTTCATCCATAAGATCTTCTCAAAGTAGAAACATTCTATAATAGTTTCTAATATGCAAACTGTTCTAATTAGCACATACAAAACACATTTTAATTACTTTTTCTTATCACAATAATCATAAGTTTCAACTTATCTTTCATATTTATTCACAAAATTTAACGAATCAGAATTTTGCTACTATATCACAATCGTTATAAGCTTTTAAGTAAGTTTTTTTCATAAATTTTGATACGAGTAAAAAATAGCAATTATGGGCTATTTTTTCGAGTTTTTATTATTTGTTTTTCTTACTCAGAATATCTGGTTAGAATCGTAAACACTATATACAGTTAACATACCTTTTAGCTGTCAATAAAATGCTTTTTCTCGATCTAAAATAAAATAATCAGACAGCGAACACAACATCTATTCTAAATGTTCACACTTTATCCACCACTAAACGAAATAAGTCTGTGGGGAAACGGAGCAGAATCCCGCAATAGCAGACGAAACATCACCGAAACACCGCTGAAACCAGAGCACCGACGTAAACACACCACGTGCATTCTTCATTCTATAAAATCGTTTGCACGGAAGACGTTCTTTTTCTTCGCTGTATTCATTACATTGTATCATTTAAATATTGTTTAAATAATGCTAAATAATATTGAAATGTGTTTAATTTTTGAAAAGATTTAAGTTAGAAAAGTTTCAAAAATTGTGGTGTTTGTCGAACGGAAACTCATTTAACCCTTCTTATGAATAAAATGAATGAGAAATGTATTGGGAATAGAAGGCCTGATTATGTGGTTATGTGACTGTTCTTTAGATAGGTAGGCGCTGCCTTAAACCCTGAGGCTGCAGGCCACCGCAACGTTTTCAGCCAACTCTTCCAGTTTCGGAGGGAAAGCAAGCTTGTGCCACCTCAAAACACGATATTGTAATAGTTCGAAGGGTTACCTTGCTTTCCCGCGCGCCACGCGGTCGCCAATCCACTCGTTAAAACTGCGCCAAGGCATTAATTCGACAAAAGAAGGGAAGGATAGTTGCAGACGATTCTGCGGAAAGAAAGATAACTGAATTTAGGTCGGAAAAAGAACGGAAAAGAAAAGATAGAAATAAAAAATTACGGAAGAAAATGAGTAGAATTGAAGTGAAGAAAAAAGGTCTCAAGTAAATGACTCAGTTGGGTGCCGTTACAAAAATTTTCTTCAACTGGAATAGATTTCTATTTAAAATCATTTTTGTTCAATGAAAATGGAAAATGTTTCTAAAAAGATTTTTATGAATCTTGAAGCAGCATTCATCATGATTAAAGATCAATAAATAAAATAGAAAATCTTGAGCATATGAAATTCAAATTGGAATTGAATAAATATTGATCGCTTATTCTTCTCGCCTTTTATTTTCTATTCCCGGAATATTTTATTATTTTGGAGAAAAAAATTCCGTAAGTTTTTTTTTTTAAACAGAAAATACGAAAGAATTTTTAAAAATATTTTTCCACATAATTATTGTGACTATGCATTTACATACATCGAAATTTCTTTTGATGATATGCATGAAAACGCGTGTTTCCAGAATTTCGTTGAAACACAAAAATATTGAGCAAACTTGTTTCAAAGCTTTGTATATCTACACTAAATTACTCTACTAAGTAATCGTTAAGTTGCTGGCAAGAATTGTGTGATATACTTAAAGTAATTTTGATACAAATCTTAAAAACATATTGAATTGAGTCTTAGAAACATATATTTCCATAATACTGGCAAAGTTATATTTTTTCACCTAATTTTTTTTCTTCTAAAATCAGAGTTAGAACAATCGAGACATGGGTAAAAGGACGGAGAAAAAATTAAGCTCAATCTGAAAATCTTTCTGAAAAAAATTTAAAAAAAGAGTGATAGAATTAAATTTTAAACTTTTTGCATTCTTCAGTTCGGATAATTACTTTTCTAGACTTCTTTGACTTTTTTAAAAGTTTAACAAAAAAAAAAAGCTCAATTTGCGTCAATTTGAAATTACTTTTTTTTCGTTCTTTCATTATTGTTGTAACTATTTTAGTCCATTTTTTTTATTTTGTATGTTATTACATTTTATAATTGACTTAAAAACCTGTGCTAATCTGAGAAAAAGCTGTCTTTACAATTCCTAATTGCTTAACAAGTGTTGCAAAAGTGTGAAGAGAAAAAAGATGAGAATCAATAAAACTGTATTTGGGGATCTTTAAATTTGGCAAATCAGTCATTAGGTAGATAAATTTTGTGAATTATATTTTTTGGTACGGTATATGTCGACAGATTGTTATCTAGATTTTTAATAAAAATATTTCATTTAATATATTATTTATGTACCAATTCATTTCATTTAATACAATTAATATTGTATTTCATTTAATATATTAATGTTCTTTATTTCACACTTAATTATCTATTATTTAAATTAGTTTAACATTTAACTTTTTAATCATTTTAATGGATATTTTGTATTATTTAGTTTTACATATTATTTCTTAACTTTTGTTGATTTTTTATAATTGTTTCTTAATGAATTTGAATTTTTAAAAAAATATAATTCATTAAAAAATTATTAAAAAGGGGTTGGGAATATAAATATCTTTAATCTAAATACAGAGATAAGTGGCTTGAATACATAGATCAAGGTGCTAAATAAATTTATAAATAATAATAATTTAAATTTCAACCATTTTTTTTCTAGCAAATTAAATGAAACGATTTTCACTTTTTTCTATGGCCATTCAAAATCATGTTATTTTAATAATAACTTATATACATTTGATGCATTCCGTATGATGGTAACATTTACAGCTGGAGTCTTAAGGTTCACTTTTTTTTAAATTTATAAACTTTAGTTTCATTTATTTGTTTGGCTATTTGACTCGTAGTATGATCAACATCGACGAATTTTGGCCTTCGTCTGCAAAATTCGTCTTTTAGGCGAAAGTACTATAAAATAAATTCATTATTATGTAAACGAAAAAATAACAGTAAACCATTACCACCAATCTCTGTGTTAACCTCTATTGCTTCCAAGCTATGTAATTTACTTGATTATTGCTTTTTGATTTTTTATGAAAAATCAAAAAGAAAAGCAATGAAAAATTCAAGTAAAAAAGAAATATTTAAAAAAAATTCAAATGTCCATATCTGAACAGCACAGACATTTAAAAATTTATGCAGCTGAGAAATAAAAGTTAAATGATCTCGCATTTTTGCACCGTGTACCTCATTTAATGAGTTTGCAAATATTGCAGGTGGGTGTATTCATTTCCAATACTTCCTTTATTCCTTGAATCTAAGCCACAACCACAAAAGTTTGCTGTATTTTAATAATTACAATACACCACATCCCATTATTTTGAGTATTTGTTTTCTATTTTTTTTTCTCTTTTTTATTTTGCAATAAGGAAGTTTTTTAATAGGAGATGCGATTTTAATTCGGAGCACACGCGCATTAGTCAATATCATTTTCCAATCTTAAATAAATTTTGTTTTCTTACTTAGATTTCAGCTTTATTTTAAAAAGGTTTTATTTTATTTCTGAGAAATTTAGCAAATGCATTTTTGCAGCAATCTATTAATTTAGTATCGTGAATATTATTCTGTGTTATCACGCTTTTCCATGGCTACATTACCTTCAACTACTACGGAATTTTCATATTTTCAGAAAATATTTTTTTCTAGTGGTAGCAAAGGTGATGTATTAATATTTCAACTCTTTAAAATTAAAAGAATATTTATCCGCCACTACATATAAATAATTTAAACAGATATATATTGAAGGTTTAGAAACGGCAGTTCTGGTATTAATATTTCAACGTGGTGTATAATAGTAATATTATAATAACTGCAGTGCTGTGAGTAATATTATAATAATACAGTTAATATAATATAATTGTAGCGAAATCGACAACCTGATTTTTAGTAAAACTACTGCACATGAAAAAAAGCTTAAAAATACAGAATAGTAACATAATAAAAAGAAATAAGTAAGAAATAAGTGAAAATCCTCTCGCTCTCTCTCTCATTTCGTAATATTCGACATACAAAATAGAGATCTCCGAACAAATTGTAATTTATTAATAACAATTGTATATTTTGTAATTACGATTTCCATTAATTTAATACTATCGTTAATATTATTTTACGTTAACATGTTTTTAAATATTTATAGTAGAATTACCGTATTTTCAGAAAATATTTTTTTAAAGTGATTAAGGTAATGCATTAATATTTCAATTCATTAAAATTAAAAGAATATTTATCCACAACTACATGTAAATAATTTAAACAAATATATTGTAGGTCAGTTTGAGAAACGGCCTTTTTGTAAGTAATATTATAACAATATGATTGCAGCGAAATGAACAAGAACCTGATTTTTAAAAAACTACAGTACCAGAAATACAACTTAAAAATACAGAATGCGTAACATAATAAAAAGAAATAAGTGAGAAATAATTCCTATCTCTCTTTATCTTATTAATTTCGAAATATTCGACATTAAAGCGCGATAACGAAATAAAGATCTCGAACAAATTATAATTTCGAAAAATAATTGTGTCAAGTTCCTAAATAAAAGTCTCACCTTGTCAAATTTGCATGCAGCTGCTTTTCTAGGGACTGCAGAGCGGATCGCACAGTATTTTTTACTACAAGTTTAACAGTTAATAATTCTTAATTACTTAAGTTACTTTACTGTACTGCTCATGCATTCTTCTAAACATCTTCGTATTATGAAGTACCTTATAAATATTATAGTTCTTGGGTGGCATAACAAACTGCAAAAATACAGTTTTGTACGGCAAATTTGAAGAAAGGCATCTAAAATTGCATCAACTTTCGAACGAATTGGAATTTTGAAGAAAAAAAAAGAAAAACTCAAGTTAAGTTTTTGCATAAAAATATCTCTTTTTCTCTCGATAAATCGCATAACTTGAATTCCATTTCTGGAAGGTGTAGAACGGAATGTAAATTTAACAAAACGTTTAACAGTTAATAATTCTTGATCTATTTATCGAATGTTAATTTTGTTTTTTTTCCATTATACTATCCCTATACATTTTCCGAAATACTTTATTTTCAAGTTTCTGACTTTTACAATTTTTGCGCAGCGAAACGAAATGCAACGTAAAATTAAACACCCAAAACGAATTTTTTAAAATCGGGTGGAGGGTTTTTTTAAAAAACAGAATTATTTAAAAATGTGAAGCATTAAAAAAAATACAACATTTTCCCTGTCATCCCAAAATACCCAATTTTATTAACAGAGCCATGATGACTCAGGTGATAGATGAAACGTTCTTTTTCCGACTAAGTGAACTAAGCTCAAAATCTGAAATGATAAACATAAAAAATTTAATCACTTAGAAAAAAAATTACTTTAACAAACAAGTTTCACTAAAACGCTTTTTAGATACTTATTGTAGTAAAAATTCCATATAATTCAACGAAATTTAAAAATTTTATTTTATCATATTGCATTGAATTGTATAATGCAAAGTTTATTTATACTTTGATATAAGGCAAAAATATGCTCTTAAAATCATTAGTGTTTTTAAAAAAAAGTTTTTTATTGTTTTATTCTTAAGCACTGAAGAGACTGCTAACCATGCACAAACAACTTTGATATACAGTATTGCATTTGCTCTTGCACCCACAACAAGCCAAATCTAAAGATATCATATGACACTTCAAAGATATGAAATATATGGTCATAGGGACATACATCTAAATAAATGGCTACCCAGATGCATGTTACATCTATATGGTCATACTTTCCTGTTTGATTGTATCAAGGATACATAATCGGGGGAATGTGGAGAAGATTTGTTGGCGATGTCTTCTTAGATATCGATCTTAGATACCGAAAATGCTTTCAGAAGGCAATAAAGATCCTCCCCCTC